CAGCCAGAGTAGGCAACCGTTCCTAGATCGCAATACGTTAACTCCTCCTCAACCTTGGCTACGACAAATCCGATCGAATGCTTTTCAAAAGGATTGCCTCTCGCCTCACGGAGCAAATCGCGAGCGCGAAGCACACCGGCGCGCCCCCTGCCGCACTCAACGAGAACATGCTTCATCACTGCGTCGCGAGCTGAACCCCCAATGGCCCCGCCGCTGACAAGCAAAAACGGAAACTCTGGGCCGTCACCGCGCGGGTCCATCTCTACATCTCCGTCGGGGTCGTCGTCGGCCCCAGGGTCGACGACGCTCTTGATTTCGACAGGCTCCCCAGAGGGCTCGTCGTCGGGTAGCTTGTCCGCTCCTCCAGTGGGCCCTCCCTGCCCCCCCCCTGCCCCCCTTCCTTAAACCCTATCAATGCTCGTCCACCTCTGGGGGCTCGAGAACCTACTAACCCCCGAGTTGTAATGGTTTAGCTCTTCACATTGCCGTGCTGCCGCCAAGCATATCCTCCTCCTCCTCCTCCTCCTCTTCCTCCTCCTCCTCCTCCTCCTGGGGATGGGGCGAGGCGGCAGTCGGGCGTCCTTCGAAGTCCAGATCGCCCTCGACCTCGATATCATTCATGATCTCCTCGATCCCCTCTTTCACCACGCCCACCTCCTCTGGAATGACGAAGTCGTCGTGGGCTGGAGCTGGAGGGGCTGGACCCGCTGCCCCAGCACTCGTCGACGGCTTGTTCGCAGCCCGTCTAGGGGTGAGCTTCGTCGACTTTCGATTCAGAATGCTGCCGCTGTTCATCGAGCGCCACGAAACAGTAAAAGTGTTGATCGCAATGTGTTTCAATCGAAGATGCCCATTTGCAGAAGCAGGCAAGCCCCTGAGCATATTGGCGATGAAGTCCCCGAGCTTGAACGTCTGCAAAGGCAATACCAACGAAACCCCAGCGTTGTCAAGGGTAATGTCGGCCCGCGCGCACCAGCAAGTAGTATAGTGACGAGCTCCAAGTAGGAACGGCGCCATCGCAATACTCTGGTCCATCAACTTAAGCTCCACCGTGTAAACCTTGCGTGCGTCGATTTCGCAGAAGCCCGAAGCTGCACTCTGAATGCCCTTGGCCTCCCTGGCAGGCAAATCCCCCATAGCCACACCACTCGGTCCCGCCCCAACTCCAGCTGGAGCTGGAGCTCGTTGAGAAGGCGCCTTACCCAAGGCACCTTGTCCATGGTCGACCCCCGCAGCGTCTGCCAGAGGGAGCGGGCAGTCGCCGGCGCATGGACCTGCGATGGCGCCGACGTCGAAACGTTCTGCCTCGTCGCCTCTGTCGCGGATGGCAACGGCCTCCGAATGGCACGCCATGCAATCGACCGTGGGCGGCAAGGTCCCAAGTTTCAAAGACAACCGATCGCTTGCAAGTGGTATATGGATATTCGGTGCCCTCGTAGTAATTGTTTGGAGCACGGAGTTCGCCCCCGGGGGGAAGGTGCTATGACACGTTGGCCCCCCTCCCGCCCCAAGAAAATTGCCCCCCCCCCAAAAAAGCGTCAAAACGCCGGCTAAAGACCGTTGGGAGACATACAATCCTCAAGTTTCCAGGGACTCGTGTTATAGCATCCGCCCGAACCTCGACCTTCTGCGTATCTGGGCGCCACTGTGATCGGACCAGTAAAAGAACTGAGTGCAACTCCTGCGCGCAGCAACCCGCGTCGGCCATAACGCGGAACATGGCGGAGTATTTGTTGAAGAGTTTCAGCGTAAAGTCGCTGAGTGGCTGCAACAATGCATCGGGCCCTCCCTCAGCTCGTTGAATAAGCAACTGTGCAACGCCCTTCCTCCGATCACACACAACTCGCGGGCCTTCTTCCACGCGTAGTAATAACGCAGCTGGGAAATCATGCACGCGACTCCGAATCCTCATATCCCATGGGCAGGTGCTGGCAACAATGAGCGTGATTGCAAGGGCTCTGGCATCGCTGACGTATTCCTGTGGAACCGATGGCCGCAAGGATGCCCACTCGACGCTGCCGTCGGCCAGGAGCTTGCTGAAGTCGCCCCTGAGTGTGCCCTCTTGAGAACTGACCAGCTTCGACATCACAGTCGGGCCGAGGTATGTTTTGTCGCCATCAGCGGCTTCATCAACACGTTTGTTGAACTCCGTTGTCTCATTTTGAACCCGTAGGTGGAAATGTCGAAGTGGTCCGAGAGCAATGCATGAAACCAGCACTTTTACGATAAATTTGCTGTCTGCGAGGGCCTTCGTTGCCAGGAGCCTGAACTGTCTGCAATTGCTTCGGTTTTGTTCGGTCTCATCTGCCAGGGGACCTTTACCTTTCGATCCTTTCTTCTTTTCCAGTTTTGGCCCAAACACTGCATCAAACACTGAGGCCAACACAGGTCGCCCTTTCGAATTTATATGCTCAATTGAACCCAATGACCCCCATCGGGTCTTAATTGCCCTACCAGGGGTTCTCCTGCAAACTTGAACTGCGACATCCTCCCCGTGAAGGTCAGCGCAGACGTCCCAAATCTGCGAGGCAGACCCTGGCATTCGCCACGCGTTAGCGACCGAAGCAACTCTAGACGCAGACTTTGCTGGATCGGGTTCGCCGCAAATTTGAAAATCATCAAGAATGGTGTACATCGCCATCATGATCAATGAAAACTGGTGGAGGAAACGCAATTGCGATACGATTGCAACATTTGCCACGCCAGCGAGACAGTTCAGAATTATGCGCAATGCCCTCACGTTGTCGCCAGCACTGTCCAGCATCATGACAAACACCCGAAACCCGCGAGCAGCATCAGGGGGACTACTTCGCCAAGACGGGCGTCCTGTCAAGCGAACCTGTTTCTCCATGATTCGCTCGGTCGCTTCGTCCTTCCCAGTCGTCACAATTTGCAAATCAGCGCAAGCTCTCGATACTTCTGCAACGCTGCCAACATCAGTTTCTGGCCCGCAACAATTGAAACCAGCTTGTGCAATTGACGACCACACAAAGCCAACGTGGACTTTGCTCTTCTGCGCCGCCTCCTCGTTGGTTGCGTCGCCCATGTATCCGTGGACCTCGATTCGGGACGAACCAGGGTCGCCTGTCAGCGCGAGCTGTTCTTGATAGAACGACCGCGTGATCATTCGCTGCACTGCGGCAGCCAAGTGCTCGAAGCGAACAACTATGCCTTCGTCTTTCAAACCTCCTCTCTCTTCATCGGCAGCGAGGGCTGCTATCGTCAAAGCGCACGAAGCATGGCCGACCGTGTTTCTTTTCAGAGCGCGAGTGTACCCACCAAATAGAGAAACGTTGTTTCTTTTATGCCTGAAGTTCAACAAGTTCTTCAGACGTGCGATCTCTTTTTCGTTATCTTCCCGAACTTTCACCAACTGGTTGTTTTCGTGTTGTAGTGTGCGGCATCTCCTCACAAGCCTGCCCCTGTCCTCCTTCACATATTTGAGCATCTTGTCTCTGGCGACAATTTCATGTGCCAGCTCCACTCGTGGAATAGACTGGTCTTGGAATTCAGGCAGCTCAGCGGCGGCCTCCCGCATATCAACGTGACTTCCACAAGATATCGCAGCAAGGGTACTCATGCGAGACCCCCCCGAGCTCAACGACGATGCGAGTCCAATAATTGCGCTGTCTTGGTCATGCGAAAGTGTCAGCGAACATATTTTTTGAAGGGCAGCTCCAAAGTATGTCATGGGCAGCGTCAAGGTTGAATGATCTTCGAAGCATTTCAAGCGAGCCCGTATAGTGGCTTGTGTTATTCCATTCTCTGCAACGTCCTCCCCCAAAAGCTTGCGGGCAAATTTGGCAAAATCAGAACACTTTATATGGCCATCCTCTGAGCGATCGGCAACGAATCTGGAAATCTGTCGAAATACAGCCGGCGTTGGCTTTGACATGCTGGAAATGTTTGAGCCCAAATGGCTACGGCTGGTGTCGGTGATGACGGTCGGTGCATTGAAAACCCGACGGTGTCTGAATACTCGCGGCGCGTGCTTGGCTGACTCCCAGGTCCTGGACGCCACTTCTCTCTCACCCCCCACCCCGTGCAGCGACAACGAATGGAGATAAGTTCTTTTCGACCAAAGCTCCTACCCTACTCGAAACATCCTGGTCTGAACAAGCACAGCGAACTGCTGTGCAATACAAGGCAGCCCCACTCCCGCATAGGCGACACCCGCGAACCAGGAGCCACGGAAAAAATCTCGATGCAGCCGTCTCTGGAATCTCATCTTGCCTCCTGCCTCTCGTCCCCCTCCCCATCCCCAAGACATAACCTAATCAACATATGGTTGCACGACTGGTGGCTAAGGGAAGCTTCGGGAAGCCCGCTTCCTATCGGCAAGCGGCTAACTACTGGTCCACACATAGTCAGAGTCGCTATCCGACTCCACAACTGCAAAGTTCGCAGAAGGCTGAATATGAACGAGCTGTGGCATAGGCATAGGCATGACCTTGCGAAGGTCCTCCTCCGCCTTCAACATTGCCTTCTTGAAGGCAGCCTTCTCCCGCTTCAGCTCCTTCACACGCTGCTGAAACTTCTGTTTGTCGAAGCGGCGGCACAGCTTCTGGTGCCCCACACGGACGTTCTGGGTCAGGAGACGAGAGCGAAGGGATGCGATCGTCTTCGCCTGCTTGGACTTCTCTTGATTCGCCTGCTTAAGTTTCAGTTTGAAATGATCAGCCGTCTTCTTAGCGTGCGGCATGTGTCTGGGACGCGGGAAAGCGGTGCAATCACAGACGGGCCCCACGGAAGCTCGAAACGCTTGAACTCCAAAACGGCGGTGGAACACGATCGTGCAACATACAGTTGTGAGTGTGTTTGTTTTATGGTGACAATGTATGTTCGCTTATGATGTTTTGACGTGACCGTGCTATGATGCACGGCAGTCTTACGATAAGAGCACGTGGTGATATGGAATGATGTGGACCATTACTTTGGGATGATATGAGACTGCATGATATGGTGTGGTTATGGTATGTAATGATGAAACAGATGATGATGGCATGGTCGGAAGGACGACGAGTCAACGCGCAAAGTCTTGACAAACATTGGTTGACAAGGACCTCAGTCGTGGTCGGGCGTCTCTATCACCCAGTGCTGAGCATCCACTTGGCCTAACAGCAATCTCTCATGCCACACGTTGCCATCGCTGTAGAAGACGGCCACATAGCCGCCAGGGAGGAGCTCACTCCAGAACGCCTCCTCCCCGACGGCGCGGCCGCTGGCCAGTCGGAGGGCTGCCGTCCCTCTCCGCTGCGGCACGCGCAGGCTCGGCTCCTCCGCGCTTGCCGCTATCCTCAGCGGTGGTCGGACGCGCCTGCTCGCCATCTTGGCGACGACGGGCACAGCACCTCCCAACGCTCACCACCAGGATGTGGCCCAGGGCCGACCCCAGCACCTGCCACGCGGGCAACTGCGACAGCTCGTGCTCGTCGGCCGCCCTCTCCCCAACGCCCTCGCACCGGCACTCGCAGGCCGGCGGCTCGGGGCAGGGCTGAGGCACCGGCAGGCTCAGCCACTCGGGCGGCTGCGGGCACTGCTCCTCGCGGGCCGCGCCCGCCCCGGCAGCCGCGGCCGCGGCGATGGTGGCCGCCTCCGCGGCCTTGCGGGCGGCGCTCACCGCCGCCTCCACGCCGCTGGCGGCGCCCCAGCCAGCCTGGTGCACGAAGGCCTGGTACAGCAGGTTTGCGTGGCGCAGCAGCACGGCGCCCACGACGCCCACGGCGGCGTGCTGCGGCCGCAGCGCCAGGGCCATGCAGCCCCGCGGCACCAGCTTCCCCTCCCTGAGAGGAAAAGCTGCAAGCGAAAACCCTCATTAGAGTCCCCCGGACACCCCGGACACGTCCCCCGGACACTCTGGACACCCCGGACACGTCTCCCAGACACGTCCCCCGGACACGTCCCCCGGACACGTCCGCCGGACACCCCGGACACCTCGGACACGTCCCCCGGACATCCCGGACACCACGTCTCCTGGACACCCCGGACATCCCAGACACGTCCCCCCGGACACCCCGGACACCCCGGACACGTCCCCCGGACACCCCGGACACCCCGGACACCTCAGACACCTTCGTCGTCGTCGTCGTCGTGGTCGTCGTCGTCGTCGTCGTCGTCGTGGTCGTCGTCGTCTCTCGTCGTCGTTCGTCGTCGTCCGTTCCCCCTCCTCCTCCTTCCTCCGCTCGCCTCCTCCTCCTCCTCCTCCTCTCTTCCTTCCTCTGATCATCATCATCATCATCATATACATCATCATGCATCATCATCATCATCATCATTCATATCATCCTCATCATTCATCATCATCATCACACATCACATTATCATCACATCATCTACATGCGTCACCATCATGCCTCACTATCACCATCCTACGATCGCCTTTTCATCGTCGTCCTCCCCCGCATCCTCCTCGCCCGCATCCTCTGGTTTCCTCATCATGCTCTTCCTGACGACTCATCATCCTGCTTCTTCCTCCTGCCTACTCATCATGCCTTTCCCTACCGCCTCAATCTGCTCGTCTTGCCTCTTGCCCATGCCCCCCCATCCTGCCTGCTCCTCCTCCTCCTCCCCTCCTCCTCCTCCTCCTCCTCTTCCTCCTCCTCCATTCGTTCTGCTGCCGCGCGACGCGGCGCAGCACTGCTGCGATGATGCGCTGTCAAATTGTTGCGACAATGAAAACATGATCGACCCACGAACCCGGAAAGGAAGATAGAAATGTAAGGCATGGCAATGTTTCAAAGACACCTGATTGGGCGACGGGCAAATGCAATGCTGAATGTATCGATCTTGATGTACTGTGCCGAAGGCTGCGCTGTGCTGCACCGCGCTGAATTGCGATGTGCCATGCCGCGATTGTGCTCTAGATAGCGTTGTGGATCGAGTCTTCCTTTGCATCCGAGTCCTGACCGAACTGATCTGGATCTTAGGTTCGAGCTGCCTGAACACATAGTAGCTGCCCCGGAGCTAATTGACAGGGGGACATGCCAGGAGGACGCGCCGCGAAACGTCCCAAGGGACGCGCCAGGCGACGTGCCAGGGGACGTGCCATGGGGTCGCACCGTAGGACATGCCAAGGGGACGCGCTACGGAACGTGCCAATGGATGTGCCGCGGAATGTGCAGGGGACGCGCCGCGCGACGTGCCGGGGGACTCGCCAAGGGACGCCCCACGGAACGTGCCAAGGAACGTGCCAGGTTGCAATGCTGATTGTATCGATCTTGATGTACCGTGCCGAAGTCTGTGTTGTGCTGCACCGTGCTGAACTGCGATGTGCCATGCCGCGGTTGTGCTCTATAGCGTCGTGGATCGAGTCCTCCGTTGCATCCGAGTCCTGACCGAACTGATCTGAATCTTAAGCTCGAGCTGCCTGAACACATAGTATCTGCCGCAGAGCTAATTGACAGGGGGACATGCCAGGAGGACGCGCCGCGGAACGTCTCAAGGGACGCGCCAGGCGACATGCCAGGGAACGTGCCATGGGGACGCACCGCGGGACGTGCCAGGGGGACGCGCTACGGAACTTGCTGGGGACAAGCGTTTCGCTCGAGACATCCTGTCAACATCCTCATTCTAGACATCCGCCTGAGCGACCTGGACACGTGAAAACAAACATTTCGCTCAACACATCCTCAACACATTCTCATGCTGGACATCCGCCTGGGCGAACTGGACACGTGAAAACAAGTAGTTCGCTCGAGACATCCTCAACACATCTTCATGTGAGACGTCCGCCTGGGTGACCTGGGCACGTGAAAACAAGCGTTTCGCTCGAGACGTTTTCAACACCTCCTCATTCTAGACATCCGCCTTGGCGACCTGTACACGTGAAAGCAAACGTCTCGCTCGAGACATCTTCAACACATCTTCATGTTAGACATCCGCCTGGGCGACCTGGACACGTGAAGACAAGCGAATCTCTCGAGACATCCTGAACACATCCTCATGCTAGGCATCCGCCTGGGCAACCTGGACACGTGCAAACAAGCATTTCGATCGAGACTTCCTCAACACCTCCTCATTCTAGACATCCGCCTGGGCGACGAGGACGCGTGAAACCAAGCGTCTCGCTCGAGACATCCTCAACAAATCCTGGCGCTTGACCTCTGCCTGGGCAACCTGGAGGCGTGAAACCAAGCGTCTCGCTCGAGACGTCCTCAAGACCTGGGCACGTGAAACCAAGCATTTCACTTGAGAGATCCTCTAAACTCTGGTCCCCAGGAGTGGACAATCTATAACACAAAACAAGCGTCTCGCTCGAGACATCCTCAACAAATTCTGAAAAGCAAGCGTTTCGCTAGGGACATCCTGAAATTTTGATTCGCCGGCCCTCTTCCCACTCGTTATTTATAGCGAAAGAAATCCGCCGGCCCTCTTCCCGTCAAAACCGAGGGGAAACAAACTAAAAGAGAACCCTGGGCCTGAAACCCTTTCCGGGAAACAATGCTTGATTGCGCGCTCCATTCTAATGTCCCGCCCTCTGGCCCCCACCCGCGCGTTGGTCCGCCCCGCCTGGCCCGCTCGTTGGTGCCCCGCCAGCCAAATCCCACCCGTCCACCCAAGTTCTCTTCGTATTCCATGAGGCCCCACACTTTAATGCCCTGCCTGCCCGGCCCCACCCGCCAATTCCACCAGTAGTCCTCATCGACCCACTGTTCGGGAACCCCTGGAGCCTCCGCGGCCCTGCAAAAACATGATCGACCCACGAACCCGGAAAGGAATATAGAAATGTAACGCATGGCAACGTTTTCAAAGACACCTGATTGGGTGACGGGCAAGTGCAATGCTGATTGTATCGATCTTGATGTACCGTGCCGAGGGCTGTGCTGTGCTGCACCGTGCTGAATTGCGATGTGCCATGCCGCGGTTGTGCTCTATAGCGTCGTGGATCGAGTCCTCCTTTGCATCCGAGTCCTGACCGAACTGATCTGGATCTTAAGCTCGAGCTGCCTGAACACATAGTAGCTGCCCCAGAGCTAATTGACAGGGGGCATGCCAGGAGGACGCGCCGCGAAACGTCCCAAGGGACGCGCCAGGCGACGTGCCAGGGGACGTGCCATGGGGTCGCACCGTAGGACGTGCCAAAGGGACGCGCTACGGAACGTGCCAATGGATGTGCCACGGAATGTGCCAGGGGACGCGCCACGCGACGTGCCAGGGGGACTCGCCAAGGGACGCCCCACGGAACGTGCCAAGGAACGTGCCAAGTTGCAATGCTGAGTGTATCGATCTTGATGTACCCTGCCGAGGGCTGTGCTGTGCTGCACCGTGCTGAATTGCGATGTGCCATGCCGCGGTTGTGCTCTATAGCGTCGTGGATCGAGTCCTCCTTTGCATCCGAGTCCTGACCGAACTGATCTGGATCTTAAGCTCGAGCTGCCTGAACACATAGTAGCTGCCCCAGAGCTAATTGACAAGGGGACATGCCAGGAGGACGCGACGCGGAACGTCTCAAGGGACCCGCCAAGCGACGTGCCAAGGGACGTGCCATGGGGACGCACCGCGGGACGTGCCAAGGGGACGCGCTACGGAACGTGCTGGGGACAAGCGTTTCGCTCGAGACATCCTGCCAACATCCTCAGAATTCCTGCGCGCGGGACGCGGCACGCGCGAGACATCCTCAAAATTCTTGCGAGCGGGACGTGAAAACAAGCATTTCGCCTGAGACATCCTCTGAATTCTGGACCCCCCACGAGGACCCCCACGAGGCCCCCGCTCGAGACATCCCCCAATTTTGCAAAACCAGCGTTTCGCTTGAAACGTCTTCAACCAATTATGAAAGACAGGCATTTCGCTCGAGACATCCTGCCAAAATTCAAGGACATCCTGGCAAAACGAACGAATTAATCGAGACATCCTCGAAATTCCTGCGCGCGGGACGCGGCACGCGCGAAACATCATCGCGGGGCGCTTTTCCGCGTCGCGGTCGGCACTGCAAAACCAGCGTTTCGCTCGAGACATCCTCAACAAATTCTGAAAACAAGCGTTTCGCTCGAGACATCCCCAACTCTGCAAAACCAGCGTTTCGCTCGAGACACCCTTAACAAATTCTGAAAAACAAGCGTTTCGCTAGGGACATCCTCAAAAATAATTCCGCCGGCCCTACTCCCGCACGTAATTTATCGCGGGGGGTAAAACCATTCAAAGAGAACCCTGGGCTCGAGCCCTTTTCCGGGAATAAACTATGGAAAGAGATTGTTGCGCTGCTGCTGGCAGAAAACCGAAGGGGGGGGTCACCCCTCAAAATAACAGAGAAAGCGAGGGGGGTCACCACCACCACCCCGGAAAACCGGGGGGGGTCACGACCCCCCCCTGATGTTCGCCGCCGGCCAAGGACTCCCCCCCCCCTTCCCGCCCCCCCTCCCTCCCTCGCTCCCTCCCCCTCCCCCCTCCTTCACCCCTCCTCCCCCTCCCCCCCTACGACGACGACGACGACGACGACGACGCCGCCGCCGCCGCGACGACGACGACGACGACGACGACGACGACGACGACGACGACGACGACGACGACGACGACGACGGCGGCGGCGGCGGCGGCGGCGGCGGCGGCGGCCGATGCGGCGACGGCGACGGCGACGGCGACGGCGACGACGACGATGGCGGCGGCGCACGGCGAACCACGACGACGACGTCGACGACGCAAGGCTTCATGTAAGGTCCCGCCCGCCCACCCGACTGCATTCCCCATTCCTGAGTGAATGTTGCATTTAATGTCCCGCCCGCCCGACGGTTCCACCATAGTTTCTCCCAACTTTGTCCCATGTCAGAGTGAAGGTTACATTTAATGTCCCGCCCGCCCGACCGAACGCCCCATCCCTGAGTGAAGGTTGC